TTAATAAATATTATTTTCAAAATTATGTTAAAAAAAGTACTACAAATCACAATAGCTAACAATTTAAAATATTTTTAAAATCATATAAAAATTTCAATAACTTTTCAAATTCCATAATATGACATAAATTAAAATAAAAAAAATATATATATTGGCCCCGTGCTGGCACGGGGTCCTATATCTAGTTAGTCTAATAAATGTGGTGTTGTTACCAAAAAGATTAAATAAAGTACTAAAGAATGTAGTGAAGAAGTAGATGATAAAAGTTGTAAATATATTACGTAGGTGCTGACATATTTTCACATAAAAATAATGTTTACAAGATCTTTGAAGGATTTAAGTTGCAAAAAAATCATTAATTGTTCTTTGTTTGAATAACTTATCATATTATTATTATATATAATCAAATTTAAATATTCGAAGAGTTGGTCCCATTAATAACTACTTTCAAGATTAAAAACATAACACACAATCATAGACTTGAATTATATATATTTTTAAAAATATCATTTATAGAATTTTCTTACGTAATTTTTAAATATTCAAAACACTAAAAAAAATTAAAATAAAAAACATTAACATTACATAAATATCCTTGACTAGAAGCAGACACATCGACTAAGAGGTACATGCTTCTAGATTTCTCTATATAATAGTAATATCTTGGACGTCACCAAATGTAATGCAGGCGTTGATGGTAAATATTGAAATACGAATACATGTGATAAAATTAGTCCATAAAAATATAATTTACTTAACTTAATTATTTGAGATGATGATTTGTTAAAAACAACTTTTTTGCCTCACAAAAATAAGGTTAAAATTGCATTTACCCATCCTTTCGAGACCCCACTCGAAGGATTATACTGATAATATTGTTGATGTTGTTGTTATGTTTATATAATGCAATTTTTTCCCTTTAATTTAGTCATTAAAAATGATTTAGTGTAAAAACGTAGAAGCAATTATATATCCAAAATAAGGATTCATTTTAATAAAATGTAATTTTGAAGGTTCATTGTATCAAATCAAATTAGATAACTTTTTAATAATAAGTTGAAATGCATTAATAGTACGTTTAAAAATTCACCTTATAATATCTACTTTACACCTAATTACAGAGGCGTATCTAAGGGGTTTCGTGAGTTCACGTGAACTCATACTCCCCTTTTTAGATCATATATAGTAATGTTATATTTTTTTAAAAAAAATAATATAGAGATGGGAACCAAAGTTAAAAGTAGAATAAAATAATACGATGGGATGCACCTCTCTAAGCAAAGATAGAAATTTAAATCTTATATCTATCTTATATCTTTTAGTAACACCCCTCCAAATGACTATCAGTAACACTTTTGGCATTTCAATCATTTTTTTTTGTTTTTTTGTTTTTTGCTTTAATCTTTCAAAATTTTCAAGTGTGTGACACTAAAAATTCCTAAAAAAAAATTAGCATTGTAAAATTTTTACATAATTAAATCAAATGTGTATATTAAAATTTAAAACTAGTAATATTATATATATTGGAAATTGGACCTATAATTTTTAAAAGTTAAAGGTTAAATGTTAAGATCGTAAAGGTCAAACCGATCAAATTTATATCTTAAATGCATCTTTTCGTAATAGTGCACTCATTTTTTCAAAATCCTAAATACGCCTTTGCATCTAAAACATGCACTATCACACTAAGATTGTATAATTTTTTTAAAATTATATTTTCAGTAGACACATATATATGAAGTAATAAAAAAAACTCTTAGCATAAAAAAAAAACAGTTCGATGCATAAAACATCTTGCATTAGTAAGGTTTGAAAAAAATCACACTTTTAAGGAGGCAAACATTAATAGTTACATTCATGACTCAGATATGTAACTTATGAAAATTTATACGAAAATAACTTTATCGTTACCCAAAACTCTTACCATATTATCATTAATTAACATGAAAATTTGCAACTCTATTCATTAGAGAGGGGTCTGGCGGCTAAGCAGTCAGCTTTACACTAACAGTAAACACTTCCCACATAATTGCTAAAAGTCAATTGAATATAAAAACAATTTGAAGTTGAATCAAGTTGCAACTAAAAATATGTTTGACTAAGGGTATAAGTTGGTTAAACTAGATTATAAGCATTTTTTTTTACTTATTTAGATGTTTTATAATCATCAAAAAAGTTTAAAAGTGAAGGCTATATAAACTAAGTCAAAAGTCAAAAGTTGGTCTCATCAATCCGGGTTGGAGTCGTTTAGAGCTAGGGGTCTATTTGAACTCCTTTTGTCAGAAATTACACTATTTTATTTATACATGTATAGTAGATATTGAATCCCTTCGACTGGTTCTATTATTATTTTTCTTGGAACCCCATGATAACCCACAGTCGCTATAGTCTCTGCCCTTCGGGTGAGCACTCTGTGGATTGTGGTGAGCACTTTGTGTGCCTGGCTAAACCCCCGTTGTATAATAGCTTGTGAACCACACATGGGATGTAAATCGCACTACGTAAGCCCTATGCGAGAGGCTCGATTCAAAACGCATTGAGGGGGGTCGATCCCGGATCCGAAGTCCAAACCAATTGATGGCGACAACATTTCTATTTATTAATTTCTACACTTTTAATCAAATACGTGATTGATATTTATAAATCAACTTAGCATCTACGAGTAGTTTTGAGGACTTCATGCTTATTATGTTTAATTAGCTCATTTAAACAAGCTCCAAATATGCACATGTATGAAACAAAGCACACTTCACCAGGAAGGAATGTGATCAAATGATTGTGATCACTTTGTTTTTTGGCAAAATACATATATTGGACCTTAAACTTGGCTTCAAATTTCAACTTTGACCTCCAACTTTCATAGTGCACAAACAGACACTTTAACTATCCAACCTTTTAATAAATAAACACGCGTGTCTTACCTGGCAAAACGCGTGATGTGCACGTATTTTGCGTGAGTTAGGAGTAATTTTCAAGGCCCACAACAGTAAAAAAAAATGCTGAAATGACAACTCTACCCTTCATTAATTTATTTTTTTTAGTTCTAAAATGGACGTGTAAAGTATTTAATTAGTTGGCAGCCATTGAGTGGCTCACTAATACACGTGGAAGCGTTTGCATTTCACGCTCTTTGGCTCCAAAAATCGCGTGTTTATTTATTAAAAGGTTGGATAGTTAAAGTGTCTGTTTGTGCACTATGAAAGTTGGAGGTCAAAGTTGAAATTTGAAGCCAAGTTTAGGATCTAATATATGTATTATGCCTTGTTTTTTAATCATAAGTCTTTGACTTGAGCCTCGAAACTGAATATTTTAAAAATAATTAATGAGCATTTCTCACTAAAATAAATCCAACGTAATATGATTTTAAATTAATCGATCAGTAAATTTTGATATCGTATGATATTAAAACACACACAAAAAAGGGGGTGGGGTGGTGTGTGTGTGGGGGGTGGGATAGAAGATAGCTATTCAAAGGGACTATAAATGTAAGAAATAAACAATAATGGAGACAATTTTATAATAGAAGTCAAATATGAACAATAGTACTAGACAAACATGGCAAGTTGTAATGTAATATTTAATTATGTAACCTTAACATACTCTTTGAAAACAGATCACAGATATATGGAACAAAGCACCAACAAGGGATGATGTGGGATGGACGTGATCATTTTAACTTGTCCTTAATTAGAGATATCATATTTAAATTTCGGAAATAAGAATCTCCTATTAACATTAGAGACTGATTACCCCTTAAATAAGCTTCACGCCATACAAATCTAAATATTACAAATACCATATGGGACGGAACATAGCTATAATTTTGCATAGCTATTAAATTCAATAAAACGAAATTTTGAAGCAATGATAAAATTATTTTCATATAACCTATAAATCATCGATTTGAATCGTAAAAGCAGTCATTTATACTTGTAGATTATCTACATCACACCTATGCGAGTGCAAACCTTTTCTCAAACTCTGCATAAATACGAAATATTTGTGCATCGATCTGTCTATATTCAAAGGGACTATGGGCATGTTTGGATTGGTTTTTGGCTTATGACTTATAAGCCAAAAGCCATAAGTTAGGATTTCTAACTTATGATTTATAAGCCAAAAGCCATAAGTTAGGATTTCTAACTTATGATTTATAAGCCAAAAGCCATAAGTTAGGATTTCTAACTTATGATTTATAAGCCAAAAGCCATAAGTTAGGATTTCTAACTTATGATTTATAAGCCAAAAGCCATAAGTTAGGATTTCTAACTTATGATTTATAAGCCAAAAGCCATAAGTTAGGATTTCTAACTTATGATTTATAAGCCAAAAGCCATAAGTTAGGATTTCTAACTTATGATTTATAAGCCAAAAGCCATAAGTTAGGATTTCTAACTTATGATTTATAAGCCAAAAGCCATAAGTTAGGATTTCTAACTTATGGCTTTTGGCTTATTTTTGTTATTTTGGCTTTAAAATAAGTGCTTATAAACACTTTTTAACTTTACCCAAACACTTCAAAATTGCTTAAAAGTTATTTTGACTTAACAGCACCTAAAATAAGTCAATCTAAACGGGCACTATATGTATGTAAGAAAAAAACAATAATGGAGGCAATTTTAAATAGAGGTCAAATATATATATGCGTTCAATTATCTTATATATATTCAACCAAAGCCGACGCTAAAAGACAAATTCTTGAATTTTTTTAATCACATCCATCTTTTTCAAGTTCCCTTTTAATAATTAATCTCCATTCTCTCTATATATAACCAAAATGCAAAAGCAACAAAAATGTATATTCTTACTAAAGTTTCTTGCTAAGACGTATTAACTTGCAGCAAAAAATTAATATGGATATTTTTTCATATCCTATTTCTTCTTCATCTTCCTCCTCTAATTCTTCTTCAACATATCCACAACAAGAACAAAAAAAAAAAAAAAAATTAGCCTCTTATCATTCCTCACTTCATGGAGTTAGAAGGCTCCCATTAAAACCAATGACTAAACTACCAATTGCACCTTTGCCACCAACACCTCCTAAAATCTATAGAGTTGAACCTAATGATTTCAAGGATGTTGTCCAAATGCTCACTTCATCTCCCGAGTTTCAATCTGTCTCCAATGATTCTATCTCTCGTTCTGATTCTGGTTTTGGCTCTGGCTCTGGCTCTAGTTCTTTCAACTCAAGGCGTTTACAAGATATTGCTCCTCCACCACTTGATCTCTCACCGATTTCTTTAGAAAGAAGTAATGACAACAACAATAATAATAATATTGTTGAACAATGGCGTGTGTTCCTTCGTCCTTCTTCTTCCTCTAACATTAACCAAGTAGTTGAATCAATTGAAACATGCATTGACTCAACAAATAATGAAGCACAAGAAAGATCACATGTAACGCCCCGGATTCCATCAGAAAATTATTTTGGATCGTGTAGTCCATTGGCTAATTTCCCTCTATCGCCGGCTTCTTTTGCATGGTGTTCTTCTATTCTTCTAAGCCCGGGTACTCTTACTTCACCAAGCGCGGTTCTTTAGTTCCCATTGTCATTGCCTCAACCAACATAAACAGGATTTTCACTGAAGAGGGTTCAACATCTACTATATATATATACCTAAGACAAAAATTCTAGCTCCGCGCTAGCCTCAACTCATTTGAGAGTTTGTAACTTATCACAATTCAAACACTTGAAGTTGTTTTTTTTTTTCATTTTCACTTTTACTTAATTTCTACTGCAAAATATCAAATATTTGGTATTATTATTCCACAAGTATGATCTTTAATTTGTAGCATTGACATTTTACTATTTATTGCTTACCAAAAATAGTCAAACTCATAACAGAGTTTTTAAGCAAAAAACTTATAGAGAAATTCGGACAAAAATTATTCGATAATTTTATGTTATCTCTAAAGTAACATATGAAGTAGTCGTCATATGTAGGTTCGATTTTAATTGTCGATGTTATAAAGGTAAAACTATATTATGGCATAATTGGTTATTTGAGCAAACAACCTTCCTTCAAGAAGAATTGTGACTCCCACCCCTATCTCGATCAATCTTTATAGAGCGAATTGAAAGAGCTGCAAGGTAATTCCTATGTTTGTAGCACGTCTAGTCGTTAATTCTTATGCCTGATTACAATTTTATTTTGAGTTAAGGATTTAAAAAACACACTTAAAACTATCTCACTTTATTGAGTTTTATACCTGAACTATTGGGAGTGAGTTTCCTACCTAAAACGCTAAACTATCAGCCAAAGGTTAGCGAAACACCTCTAGACGTTGCCTAGACCAAACATTTGTCTTGAAATGTTTATAGGCTCATTTTTCCATAAAATATCCGTCCACCTAACATATATAACGACTCTATTAGCTAACACGTTAACTTTTTAAATATATTTTTAATTGATTTCTTTAAAATCCTAAACTCTCTCCTTCCAAGTCGGAGATATCAACGCCACAACAAAGATGAGACCACGGCTAAGAAGGTGGAGAAGAGGATAGTGAATGTCACGATTGGAATAAATTAATTTATACAATGATAGTTTTAACCTTTAGCCTAATATTAATTTATTTAGATTTGTCATGTGGAATTATTTTTCCACATGGAGTGTTACGCGACAAAAAATTTAAATAAAAGAGAGAGTGTAGTACACACATCATAAAAAAATTAGTCAAGTTGTGTTTCGCTAACTAGAAAACTCTCACTCTCAATAATATAGGTATGAAACTCAAAAAATTGAAATAATTTAAAAGTGTTTTGACCCTTTTAACTCTTCTATTTTACACTAATAAATAGGTTTACAGTTTCAATATACTACTAAAATCAATTTCCTCTTACAATACATATTTTTGTCCTAAAACTCGAAGACAATCTCTGGCCCAAAAGAAATTTAAAAAGAAAATTAATGTCTTGCCAACACACAAAACCATTTGTTTAATTTATCATCAATATTCAACTAATTTGAATGAAGAACTATTTTTAATTAAACATCTATATATATATATTCAACTTTGAATCAAGAAGCAAAACAAGGAACATTATATGACTTATTCTTTAAAAGAGCACAAAATTTGTCCTTGTGTTATAGAGTTAGTGAGGTGTTTGCTCTTGAGTTCTAACCTATAGATTCTAGTTATTTTTGCCTCTACCCTACAAAAAGGTAGAATAATTTATATTTTATATTTCTCAAGCCTCAGTATTGTGAAACTATATTGAATATGTTATTGTTGTTTATTGTTTCTCCAATGAGGAAAATATATGAAAAAATAATTGTCAACTAATTAGTTGCAAAGTTAGGTATTTTATTTGTGCCAAAGCGTAATTTTGATGTCACAACTAGAATATCAATAAAATTAAAGTATTTCGTAAGGGGACAAATCATCCCAACCTCAACTAATGTGGGATTCAAATATTTCCACCATCAAGAATCGATTCCTCCGTCCTTAATCAAAAAAATTAAATTCAAACTCTGAAAGTAAAGAAAATCTCAATAAAAAATGGTTCCCCTTTCAATATATCCTACGTAAGCATGAATGTGAATAATTTGAGCTAATGGAATTTCAAATATCAAATGATTATATTGAAAAAAAGGGCACAAGACTTCCATTTTTATAATTTATAATCTTCAATATCCAGTTGTCATTTGAAAGTTGAAAGTCTTGTGGGCGTGCACACCATATACAATAGAGTCTAAATATGACTTTTGAATAAATCCTACGTGATGGTGTCCTATTATTAATTAACAAGACATATCATTTGACCGATCGATCAAGGTTATGATAGAGTAGTAAGTAATCTTTTATTTTTTATTAAAGGTTTCAGAGTTGAATCTCGAGTACAAAATCACTTTTGCTAGGAAATATTTTACTCTGATATAGATTTTCCTCAAACCTCAATACGAGTATCAGATATCGAACCACCAGGAAAAAAATCGTCTGACTACAATAGTATACTATATGGTTTGAGCATGTCTTAAGGTTGGAAAGTAATTAGTATAATGTATATCATAATTACCAATTTTGAAGGTCCTATTATTCCTTTTCCACTCCTCCTACCTTTTATGATTATTTTTTAAAAGAAAGAAAAGAACTTCTATTTATAAACTGGTTGCAAAATTCTCAAAAATGGGGCATTAGTATATATTAATGAAGTTTGTTGACATAATTATTTAAGTAATTTCATTAGGTAAATAGTTTCTCTGCTATAAGCAAAGATGAAAAAAAACATTCCAAATTAGGAGAACCATCAATATTTATATTGAGACATATTTGGCATCTATCACTTTCTCATCATCTCTGGTAAAATCAAGTCCATCGCGAAAATATAGATTTTATTAAAAATAGATACAACAAAGAAACTAAGGGTCGAACCAATAACCTCTTGATCTGGTCGCGAAGATATTCATACACAACTCTATCACAATTTAATAGTACATTCAAAAGAGACCTAGATCACCTGTCAATGGTCTAAGACGATCACTCATTGATGAAGGAGGTAGTGGTATAGAGATACCACTTCACTTGTAACTGTGTTTAGTGCATCAAGATGAGCATTCAAGAGCGAAGTTAGAAGATTAACATCTAGACAAACCCTATGTATTAAAAAGTTTATTAAATATGTAGAAATATTAAATTTAAAATTTGATATTATTATCCTAAAGTATTGAATCTATAAAGTTTAAGGGTGTGTTTGGTATGAAGGAAAATGTTTTCCTAGAAAACAAGTTGATTTTTGACTTATTTTCTCATCTTTGGTTGGTGAGTAGAAAATATTTCCGGAAAAGATTTTTAGTGTTTGATTTATGAATGAAAAATATTTTTGAGAAATATCTTTTATTTTTACTAG